TTTTTATATATAGCTATCTGCCATGTCAAATTATCAAAAGATTTCTGTACAGTTCTCTGACATAGGGATGCTCAAATACATGTTCTTTCTGTATTCTCTTTGGTCTCAATTATTATTATTTTTTTCAAATTTAAACATGTGTTTGTGTGCATGACAAATAAATGTACTTTTGCACGCATAGATATGTCCATACATGATGCATGAACAAAAATTGATTCTGAAGTTTGCCTCCTCATCTTGAACATATTCAGATGAAACCTTCAATATGTCATGACTTATATTAATTAAAAAGTAAAAAAGATAAATAATTTTCCTTAGGGTATATTTCTTATCTACCCAATGAAGTATAATATTTACATGGGTAGCTAGAGGCTTTTATCTACTTGATATACTCTTAGCTCTCTCCTAACGATACTGCAATATCTGCAACGCAGGAGGAGATCGTGGAAATGCAGAAAAATCAGGTAATAATTATATTATTTGAGTAATTATTATGTTTCCTCACTTAAGAAGTTTATGCTTTGGACTGCTCTGGTTGCTAATATTAGCTATTGTTCTGTTTATAATTGCATGATTTATACATATTTATGCGATACATGTTTTCCACTGTAGTTGGTTTGCCATTTCTTCTGTATACACTTTTCTGTGCAGATGTATTCTGTTTTGTGTCTATATATGGGTGTTCTTTCCATGTCAAGTTAATTATAAGTCTGCAGATCCAAATATACACTTTGTACAACAACTTAGTCTATTACTGTCTATATTATATCTTATTTGAGATTTAAATGTTGATACCTTTTTTTTAATTTTAATTTTGAGTTCAATTTTATGTTCAAAATTCAAGGAGATGAAAATGAGAGGTAACTCAATATGAGTAACGAATTAGAAGACTTGTCAAAAATAGATCTTTTCTCGGCAAAAGTGCTGCAGTCTTTTGCACTGTGAACTGTCTTATAGATATATGCTCTAAAGTTAAAACTTGTTGGTGGTAAAAGGCCAAGAGTGATGGTGAGAGTGTCTTATGTCTGATAGCTATTGATAGTAAATTAATGTTAATTATTTTTTTGGCCAGATGCCTTTCAAATAACTTAAGGTTTCACTGTCCTGAAACCCGAGCCTATGGATTTATAGAAGTTTGATCAGATCTCAGCCTATCTAGGATCCTTTTTATCTACTTACTATGTGTGTCCCCATTCGTGTCATTTGTTATTATGTACTAGTACTTATGGATTTATTGAAGTATGAGCAGATCTCAACCTATCCAGGATCCTATATTTATTTACTTCCTGTGTGCGTGTGTGTTCATGTCCATGTCATTTGATATTAATGTACTAGTATTTATTACTTATTAGATGTCAGTTGTGGCATCATTTGATGATTTGAGCATAGGTGTTTGTGATTGTTATCACACCTACTGGTATGGTGGATGTATGAGACAGATACTAAAGAATTATTTCAAAATTTTCATGCACATGTTTGGTCTCTTTTAGTTGATTATTCTGCCAATCAATGTCCTTCATTCAACGGTTTACAAAATTTTAAGTAGTTATCATTGTCATTTTCATTTTTTTTACTTACGGATATATGCACAATGTCATCACAAGTCACTGCATGTTTAGGTATCCATGTGATACAGCACTTTATTTTGTTAATAAATTACCATTTAATAGAAGACAAACTTGAAAACATTTGGAAAAGAGTGCGTATGTACTTTGATTCCACATGGGGATATATAAATTTTTTTTTTTAAGAATTAAAGATTTTTTTGGTGTGTGGCCATGTGGGGGCACATTTTCCCTATTTTTTAGAGAGTTGTGTATCCCTTGTCCATGTCACATATCATATTATTGCTTTTGTCTCATGGTGGTAACTGTAGTATTTCTTACTATTTATTTGATATTCAAGGATTGTACCTGATTACTTAATTTCATTTGGAATCTTGTACTTGACTTGCTGTTCTGTTTTATTTTAGTTTTGGCATGTGGATCCATGTAATGGCTCCTTAGACTGTTCGAAAAGTGTAGTCCATTATGAGATAAAATTATTGCAGTCAGATCTGGGATTTGGAGAAAAGGTATTTTATTGGATGGAGATTAGGCAAGTGTTATCTGTTAGTACTTAGTAGTAATCTGAATAGTTTTTCGAGGTGCGTCTAGTGCCGATTAGAGGGCATATGTGCAGACTTGTGAAAGTGTTTTGAGAGGGAATACTTGTTTGTATACAATTAGTTGCTGCTAGTTTTAAGAAAAGGGTGGTAGGATGCATCAGGAAAATACCAATTCATATGGGAAGAGTAGCAGGATGTGACTGAAATGATATTCTAGGAGTATGTATACCAGAAGGTTTGCAGCAGTCAAATTTGGGCCAAATTAAAAGATTATTTATGTAATAAATACCAGATTACTATCTAATGATAGATGTGAAAGAAGGATGAAGGATTGAAATGAACTTGAACATGAACACAATTGGAACTTAAAATTAGTTAAGCTGATGCATAAAATTTTAGGGTTTTAGATTCTGTCATAATGTTTGTTCTTCAATTTTCAGAGATTCATAAAAATGCATTTTTATTGCTTAGTTATAGTTATCCTACACGTAAAGATATTGCTAAGAATATTTAACAGAGGAAATGTCAGAAGCCGCTGTGTATGTTAGTTTATTTTATTTAAGTGAACGCCTAATGAAAGTTAGGCATGATGTTATTTACTAGGTTTAAAACGTGATTTCACTTGATGGATGCATGTGGAGTACAAAGTGTGCTGAGTATGAAACGTTTTTGAGCCAACTTGCTTTAGGGATCCATCTCAATTTCATGCCAGTTGGATCGTGTGATGTGTCTAGGTGATTGTTCTTTGTCATGACTCATGACTGATGTTTAAACAACTTATGTGCACCTTAGCTGAGTTAATGTTTAAGTGCTGCTGCATCCACTAGTATTCTAATATTGAGTTACATTTCACCGGAAGAGCAGGTAAACTTTAAATAGATCTGTTAATAAAGGAAAAGGACCAAAATTTCTGGAACAAAAATTGATCATGTGGAAGGAGAGGTTTTTTGTTTTTTGGGGAATGTCAACTGGAGCAATGTTGGCAGTGTTGGCTGGATGACGTGCCTATCTAGTCTGCATTGCTTTATACGTAAATGCAATTTTCAAGTGAGTTGCATTTCTTGCAATATGTTTCTTGGTATGAATAAGACATGACAATCTTGAGCTGATATTGGCTGGTGGACTGATTCACAACATCAAGATTTCAAGTTTATTAAGGAGGTTAATAGATTGGAAACTGAAAGTGGGTTCTTTACATATTTGGGAGTAGTGCTGGCTCCTTCTAGTAAAGTTCCTATGCTGGAACTTACAAACATGAAAAACAGAGTTTCTGTTTTCATGCGTATTTCTTTTCTCTATCCTATTTGTTTGTCTATCTGACTCGTTATTTCCGACTACTTGGAAGTGTGGAGAGAGATAGAGAGATGCATCCTCATCACCCATTCACCATTTGGTCTGGAATACCATTGTAAAACCACCTTACTTTTTCGAAATTCTCTCTATCGTCCCTGTTATCTCCCAAAGAGAGAAAAGGAGAGTGCTAAGATAACTGCCTCAATCTGCATCAGTACTGAATTTTTGCTGTTATGGCTGATCTTGAAGCCTTTCCACAATGTCTAGCCTACAGCAGGTAAACTAGCTGCATCGACCAACTTGCCCTTAGTCTAGTAAGTTTTTATGATATGGACTCTGCACCTTCTTTTAGATGTTGTACTCTAATTTAACGTCTATTTCGTACCATACCTATAACTCTTCTCTTAGACGTCATCTCACTTTAACATGCATCTTAGCTCCGTGCATAATACGGGAGTCTTAAAGTTCATCTGAACATTTCTTCTATGACTAGCTCACTTCACTTGCAGGCAGCAAAGAGTCAAAGACCATGCCCTATTCTCGTAACTGGCATCTTCTCTTCACCTGCTGTGAATTTCTGCCAAAGCCCATAAGACTGATGCAGGACATGGACGAGTCCAACGAGGAGGCAGTAAAAAGATTAAACCTGAATCTAGAACCTTGGTCTCTAAGATTATGACCAATAATCATTTCAACTCTGCATCCATGAAAGCTTTCTTATTCCAGTAAAACATCTTCTAATCATTCTACAAGTCATAACCCACATTGAGATTGCATCTTGGATGGGCTAGGAAATCAGCAGACGATCTTAAGATTTAGGGCTTTGGTGGTGCAATATGGCTGAAGTTTTGAAGCGTGATCTTGTATTTCTTGCTCTCAGAGTGTTCTAATAGTTAGGAATATTATCCATAGAATAATTGTTAAAAGGAGCAGGCTTCTGTTCATAAAGTCATAGCTGATTAAATTTTACCTGAAGCATGTTATTTCTTCTTTTTTCCTTTATAGTATCTTTTCGCTGGTGATTCTAATCCTATTTTCAATTCTTCAACTTAATGTTCGAGGTTTGTATGTCCTTTAGAGGTTTTAATTTGGTTTACACAGGTTATCGAGATGATCAACCAGCAGCGTGGCCCAAAAAAGATTTGCTTGCGAAGGACACAAACGGGCCCATGGTGACTTCGAAATCTTTTAACATTATAACTCCTATTCAGCTTTGAAGGGTAGTTGTATATAATATAGATGGGTGACACTTCCCTTTTATGTAAATTAAGCATCAGGAGTGTTATATGTTGTAGATTAAGGCTTCGTATCTTCTCGCCTCCTGATGTGCAGGCGTGGCAGCTACATTTAGGCCGTCGTTCCAGTCTTTTACACGGAAATTTCTCACGGTACATCCACAGCCACAGCGAATATGAGATGACTTAGATTCTTCGCTTCTTGTATGCTTTTTAAGTGTTGTGTTTTCCATCATGTAAGTTTCCGTGTGAAGGAGGTTTCTCTCTAGTCTTGGAGATTTGTAGATTAGCTGTTTGCTATTTCTGTTTTATTTTAACCCCTTAAAGAAAGGTCCTCACCAATGTGTTCTTAAGATGGTCATCCATGTTTCCGTGTTGTTGGTGAGGCTATTGAATTTCCTTGTTGCAGTTTTGAACTTTGTATTTCTTGTTTTTGTGTAGAATCTGTTAGTTGAGTCTCTATTTGTGTAATCCATTATCTAAATAAATGCGGGCTTTGCCTTTTGCTGTGTGGATCGTCACTCTGTCGTAAACCTTTATTGCTTTAAACCCCATCTTTGAGCTCTCTCCGGTATGATTTTGTTCTTGTGCAAGTTTTTAATGTTCGATGTATTTTACATGTTCGTTTAAATGGAAGTATCCCCCAAAAGCTCAAATTGCACTATGCCTTGGCTAAAACTTATGGGTCAGAAGTCCTCGAGGGGATTGCTCTTTTGTCACCCTATGATTTTTTTTTTTTTTATAAAAGGATCATCCAACAGCGCGGAAGCAATTTTTCGTGTACGGTAGATTACAATTAAATTCCCTCTACGAGTGGGATCAAAATGGGTGTAGGATTTATTTTCTAGCAAGGAGTCTTGAGCTCGTACTCATTTTTTTTTTATTTTCTTCTTTATTTATTTTTTTTCCCCCTAAAATAATTCAAGCTAATTGTTGTAAAGCGCGAACAAGATTCGATATTACAATAAAACAATAAAATCATCACGTTTCCTTTTCATTTATCATCATCAAATGACAGCGTGCTGCTGGATTACCAAATGAGTTGACCAAAGGTTACCAAATGACTTCGCACGGAAGGATAATTAATGAAATAATCATCTCTTGAGCTCTTTGCATTTCTAGTGTATGAGTCAACATTTTTATTATGGATCGCCATCAATGATAGAAGGTTATTTAATACGCACCAATACGTGGATTCTACATATACTTAAATAAATTAATACTTACTATAGTATAATCATCCAACTTTTATTCTAAAACATATTTTCAATATAGGGACACGGATCTTGATTGGAATTCACGAAATTTTTTTTATGTTATAATAACAATGTAGTATAGACAGTTCAATGAGTTCTCTGCTGACCTTAATAGTAGGAAGGGGTTTAGCAAGAAATAATCATATAATTTCATATAGTACAAGAGTAGTACAACTGATGTGGTATGCTAGACATTTCTACCACTCGCTCATAATTTCTTTTTGCAGTTTATAAATTAGAGTCCTATTTTTTGTGTATAGTAATACAAGAATAGTATAACTCTTGTAATACAGTTATTATCACTCTACGACGATAGATAGAAGGTTTCTCTCATTTACTCTTAAGGGGTTGTTTGTTTTGTTTCCTAAAAACAGCGAAAATATTTTATTTTGTTGAAAACAGCAGAAACATTTCCATCGCTCATTTCCACCCAAAACCCGCGGATGTTGGCTTCTAGGGATTGGACTGGGTTTAAGCCAATTTATAGAAAGCATCCCATAACTTTTCTTGGGGGTGTTGTCAGGTGATTTTCCACCCAAAAATTTTGAAACAAACAACCCCTTAATTGAAATGTCAACGTTAATGGCTAAATATGAAAGTTCTATACATCACTTCACCGCAGGCAACTTATGGAACGAAGAACTTTCCTTTACTAATTATCATTAGTATGATGAAAACACATCACAACTATCATTTTGCATACTCCGTGTATACCCACAATTACATGATACATTGGTAAAAATAAAAAGAAAAGTCAAAAGATAAAATATAAAAGAAAATTGTTACCTAACATGATCAAAATAAACAAAGATCATCATTGGATTCTACAAGATACAAGAAACCTCTTAAAGAGAACCAGATCATTCCATTTGTTTGCGCTTTCTGAAATGCCGAAGAATGAAACTATCAGCATAAAGTGGATAATTCTTCTTAATTAAACCTTTGATGCATTTCCAATATGAAAAATCTACAAATTCTCCATCTTTTCTCACTATGAACAAGCAGCGTGAGTTCTCGAAATCTGGGTGAAATCCTATCTGTCAAATTAGAGAAAGGCAGAAGGTATAAGTAAAAAAAAGAAGCGAAGAGATTAAGAAAATAACAACTAGCAAAACATGAAATCAAAAGATGAAATCAAAAGATAAGGAATGAATAGCAGAATTGATATCTTGCATTGTATCAAAATTGGCATGAGATTTTCACTGGCTCTTTAGCATAAGGAATAATCAAATTACGACTAACAATTGCAGAACCAAATTCCTCATATTAGTTGCTGTCTAAAGGACAACCTATCGGCTAGATCGTATAGCAATAATGGACACTGAAAGAGGACACACGGTACATGACACGGACAAAAGATACAGTCTCAAAAAAGAGCACATATAATATTAACACACAGTATGTGTATGCGTGTGCGTGCCAAGCGTGTAGACATATACATACACACAGGTGTATATTCATATCCATGTGTATATGTGCGTGCATAATACATTCCAGTTTATATAGCTAAAATAAAATTACAATAAATCGTTCAAGCAATATAAAGATTTCGAAATAAGTTTTAAATGGAAAGGATACTAAAGTGTGTAACACAAAAAAAAAGATAATTTTTTTACTTAGTGCATGCCTTGACATAGTTCTTAATATATACTTACTTCAGTGTTGTAAAGAGCATAAAAAGTGGTGCTTAAGCGGCTGCAAAAGAATTTTGTGCCCTTACCCACTTTCCACTCAAAAGAGCCCACCCAAAAGCAGACAGAGGCGAAAAGCGGCCCAAAAACGGCCACTAAACACAAAAGTCACCGCTAAAAGCTTTGCCTTTCATAACTTTATATCAAATCGTTATTTGCTAGTTTATCATATTATAAATTATAATGTTAGTAGTATTTTGTTAATATTGTGTGATTGGATCTAAGTATTGTTACACATCTATTTCATGCTTAGATCTCTTTAAACATCACATATGCATCTGTAGAACTTTTTCATCCAATTTTGCTCGTTTTATAATTTTCAGATTTCTTTTCCTAGTTTTTCTTTTTTGCCCTACTAAAAAAATAAAAATAAATAATTGACAGATGTGTGTCTATATGTATATGTATGTGTGTGTGCATGTGTGTACATGTATGGAAATAAGAGATATGAGGTGACGTTATGGCAATTCACTTTGTTAAATGACCAACCAATAGATGGACAAGTAAGGCCTACCATACAAATCACATCACATAGCTTTGTCTCGCCTCATTTATCTATTGATAGCTCATTTAGCAAAATAAGCTTTCAACTCAGAACCATCAACCCTATATGCCTATGTGTGTGTTTATGCGTGCGTGTATGTGTATGGTATCAAGTATGTGAATATTATCAATTCGAATCTAGAATTTGGATTTTTAAAATTGAAAATCCGTGTTGTTAAATGATATGTTTACACATAGACGACTTAGAAATAATTTTTTTAAGGATTAACATGTTAAAACTCATATATCACATGTTGTGAAAATCAACATTTCATGATTTTCGTAAAAGTTGCTTAATTTTTCTACCATTGACATGTGACTAAAAACAACAAAACTTTTGAATTTTTGTTTATTGGTACAGAATTTTCAATTTACAAATTCAAATTCTAGATTTGAATCTTTAGCATCCACATCTTGTACATTGTTACTAATAGCCTAGCTCAACTCTGTGCACACACATAGCAAAAAGCTCCGACAAAGCTAATGCTTGGTTTAGTAGGGGTATGAAGAGAGGGAGACGTGGTAGGGTGAGGTGTAATGGGTGAAAGGAATGACATGTTTTATGTGCTTCTTGCTTGGTTGGAGGGGGAGTGAGGGAGGCACACGACTTTTTCTTATTTGGTTAGGGGGATGGAAAGGGGAGGTGAAGTGTTGAGTGGTTAAAGGATAATAATACCCTTTATGGGGTACATAGAAACGTTAATCACAAGTATATGCAATATTTTCAAGGGGTTTTTATGAATATACCCCTCAAATCTTCTATATTTGCAATTTTATCCTCCAAAACTTGGTATTTGCAAACTTACCCCCAAATTCTCTAACCTTGAATTTTTCTACTCCTCCAACTTAATAATATTGGTTTGTAAATAGGCAAATATCAAAAATTTCAATAATTTCCAATAGATTTGCAATATTCTCTCTTTAAAAACTAAAATTGTCAAGTGAGATGGATAGAAGAACTTAGTGTATGGGAACTAGGGATAATTTTGCAAATACCAAGATTTGCGTTGTAAAATTGCAAATAGGAAAAGGTAATTGGGTAATTATACAAAATACATCAGGATATAAAAGTTTTTAACCAGATAAATAATTTCTCTCCTCCAATGTTCCTCCAAATTAGAGTGATTCTTCTCTTTGGCTACTTTTAGTTCATTTTTGCATTTCTCTCTCCTCACCCTACCCTATCTCACCTCATTTTCCGCTATAAAAACCCTCTAGCAAAGAGGATTTTTAGTTTTGACCTTGATCCTACCTCACCTCCACTTCTATGAAATCAAGCCTATGCGGATTGAGGCCTTTGTCCACCAACTTTCTCCTTTGGATTCGATTTGAGATGTTTGCTGAACGGTGATACACATCAGAACGTTCATTTCAAAGACAATCTTGATGTGAACAACAACAGCGATACATGTCAAATACCGATACTTTTTGGCAATCCATGAAATGTGTTGATCATTTCTCAAATATGTACTCAATTACATGATACACTTTTAATTGAGTCCTCAGATTTTTCTTGGACAAATGTACTGCGTTCCTCCCACACCTCTTTTTTCATATTGTTTATTTGGGATATTATTTATTTTCATCCATATATTAAAAATTATTTTAGTGAAAGAAACAATAGGCAAAATATCAACATGCATAAAACCATAATAAGTTGATATATGTTTCAATATAACAATTAAGAGACATTGTGCTAAGGAAGTAAAAAGCTGCAATAACTTTCTCTGTAGTCATGGAAGTGTATAAAACGTTTTTAACTACATAATTATTGTATGTTATTAGAAAAATATGTTTGTGCATCATGTCCATTTCCATGTTTCTGACATCAATATTGTCAAGGGTTTTTGCGTATATACCCATCAAATCTTCATATTTGCAATTTTACCATCAACATCTTGATATTTGCAGACTTACTCCC